AAAAACAAAAACACCAGCTAGCGAAAAAATTTACAAAGATTACAAAAATCTGTTTGAAAAATTCCAAAAAAATTAAAAAAAAAACTTACTATTCAAAATTAATTATTAAAGCTAAAAATGATTCAAACCGTACTTGGCAAATATTGAAAGAAATCACTTGAAAACAAAAACATGCTCAAACTCTTTGCCACAAATGTTTAAAGTCGATATCAAAAGCTTGTATGAACCACAAGTAATAGCTCATGAATTCAATAAATAATTCACTGAAATAGGATTAACTCTGTCAAGTAAAATACCAAAAATCCAAACCTCATTTTATGATTTTTTGATACCTATTGATCAAGATATTTGCTCTGAAGAATTATAGGCCGAACTACCATCAAATGATAGTTTGGTTTTCAAATCTTTCAAAAAGTTCAAAGCACCTGGCGCAGATGAAATTATAGAAAATATTATTACAGATTGGTACAAAAAATAAAAAAAAATTATTTTTAAAATTTTCAGAGCATCTATTCATCTAGGTATTTTTACTTATCGTTTAAAACTTTTCTTATCCCATACTGATATTTAGTAACTCGTTTCAACTACAAACAAAGAACTATTTCACATTTCTAATTGGTTTAAAGCTAATAAATTAAGCTTAAATATTAAAAAAAACAAAATGGATTACTTTTTACTCCTGCGCAAAAAAACGTTTTTTACCTCTTTTTATTTTTGTTTCATCAATATAAATTTGACTTGCCTCAAATTTATAATGATGAAACTATAATAAAAAGAGATACTGTTATAAAATTCTTAAGTGTTTATCTTAATAAGAATATTACTTGGAGAAAAAATATTGATCGCCAAAATTTCTTAAAATATTGGTATATTATAAAAACCTTAAAATTATCTAAACAAAAAACTTAACCCAATTCTATTAGACACAATTAAATAAATTATACAATCATTGCCTGAGGAAGTACAGAAAAAAGTAAATTACAGCATCTTTATCTCTGTCAGAAACATGCAATTGGCGTAGTTAATTAGGCGGATCGCTTTTCATTCAAAATATTTTTTTGATTATATGAAGGTACTAGATGTTTATAAACTTAACATATTTAATGTTTTATGTTTTACTTTTATTTGGAAAAACGATCTTTATTTGATTTTAATAACCTTTTTTTTTAAAACCAATAAATAAATACACATTAAGAAATAGTAGTTTTTTAAATGAACCTTTTTGTAAAACAAAGTTCAATCAATTTTGTATTACCAAATTTTGATCCTTCTATCACTCTTCCTAATTATAAAACTAAATTTAAAAAAATTCATTCTCTGTAGGGAAAACATTCTACTAAAAATGTAAAATGTATTTGTTAAATCTGTATGTATGTATATATATATATATATATATATATATATATATATATATATATATATATATATATATATATATATATATATATATATATATATATATATATATATATATATATATATATGTATATATATATATATATATATATATATATATATATATATATATATATATATATATATATATATATATATATACATACATACATACAGATTTAACAAATATGTAAATATTTGTTAAATCTGTATGTATGTATATATCTGTATGTATGTATATATACCTATATATATATATATATATATATATATATATATATATATATATATATATATATATATATATATATATATATATATATATATATATATATATTATATATATATATATATACATATATATATATATATATATATATATATATATATATATATATATATATATATATATATATATATATATATATATATATATATATATATATATATATATATATATATATATATATATATATATATATATATATATATATATATATATATATATAGGTAGATAGATAGATAGATAGATAGATATAGATATAGATATAGATATATAGATATGTACATATATAGAAAAAAATTATAAAGCATAACTATAATAATTTATAATTGAAATAGTTTTTACCTATCCGCTCCATTATAATCACTAAAAGAATATGAAATCAATAAAAATCTTTTTATCATTTTTTAAAAAAGTTTTTTTTGCGTTCATGCTAAAGTTAAAAATCCCAAGTATAATCTTAATTCCTTTTTTTTTTTTGCTTTATGCAGAATATCAACTTTGATAGACTGTAACAGATATAGGTACAAATATATTTATAAAGTATAAAATATTTGTATCTATATCTTAATAAAGTATAAAATATTTGTATCTATATAAAATATTTGTATCTGTATCTATAAAGACACAGATATATTTAAAAAGTATAGAAGATACAGATATATTTAAAAAGTATAAAACAGTTTTATAATTTTGAAAAATATTATTTTTACTTTCTTCTTGTTCTAAATATAAAAAAAACTAAATGACGAATTATAATCCTTATAACTAACTTATTAGCTCTTACACCTTTGAATGCTTTCTTTTCTAAATATAAAGAAATGTGAACACAAAAATGATATACATATTTTATAATCTTCCTTCAATTTTATTTTTCTCACCTTCTTAAGTTTTTATCTGCTTTTGATATCTATCACAAGTTAGAATTACTCCATAGAGACGTTTTTTCTTAAAATAAATATAAAATATAGCGCAATATAAAAAAAAAACGTTTTAAAGCAAAAGTTAACTTCATTTTTATCTAAGAAATGGTTTCTGTTTTTATAAGTTAGGTTCAAAGTATTTTTAAAGCTTTTAATGATAGATTTAAAGCTGTTAATGTTCCTGCAATCTATTATGTAACTGCTCGGTTGTATTAATTTGTTGACGATGTGATAAATAGAAAATTGAGGTAATTGATCAACAACCAAAGTTGTTAAATATCCTAAAAAACTCATTAATAATTAAAACTAAAAAAAGGTTAATAAATGTTGTAACAGTGTAACCCAGTGAGCACGCATACCTTTTTAAAGTTTTGTAGCAATGTTGCGAGTTACGTTGGCACAACATCGTTGTTTTTATATCATTTTGGTACAAATGCGACGTTAGCCAAGTGTTATATTTTACAACAATTCAACGTTTTATTTTTCAGGTGAGACAACAATCTATTTTTGGTGGATCAACGTTGCTTTTAAGGTTTATCGGAATTAGATTTTGTTCAGGGGTGTGGAGACGTAAAAAAAAAGTAACGACTCCGACTTCGACTGCCCTGATTATATTATTTTCCTTTGAAATGAACAATGAATAATGGCAATGAACTTGTCATATTGATTTTCGATTTCATTGAAGCTTCTTGAATTAGTAACTAGCTTACGTGACTCATTCCATAAGAGTACAATCCTGTTGGAAAAGAAATCAAATATCGCTAAGTTTCTTTTGAATTTTCTCAAAAGTTTTACCTTAAAGCCTCTAACATTTAAATAGCAACCACGTTAATATTAGTTATTTTTTAGTAAATAGAGTTATGGTCAAATTTGGCGTCTTTGATAAAGAATGCACTTCCACAGTGCTTTGTGGAACAAACGTTAGGTCTTCTTGGGGCACCTAAATATAAAGTAAAAACAAAAACTTAAAGATCAGTAGAAAATAGCAACAATAAAATGCAATGATAACTATATTGACAATGATTTATCAGCTAATATATTTAGTAATTATGTTATTATAATAATAATTTGTTATTATAATAACAATAGCATCAACAAAAGAACCATTAATAAAAACAACTACAGAATAATTATCAATCGGAAATATTTTTTGAGCGCGTATTGGTTAAATCACATTAAACGACTCTTCTAAATCACATTAAACGACTAAAGTTTTTAGCCTATAAATTTAAATTAGAAAATGGTGACAATTAGAAGTGGATGATGAAATATTTTAAATCAATATAAATTAGTTTAGTGTCATTCATAGGAGACAACACGTTCATGAGTCTACATAAATAGCTCTTTTATCAATAATGTTTAATATAATATCGATAATATGCATTTATCTGTAGTAAAACAACTAACTAAAATAAATTAAAATGATTTTTTTAAAAATAAAATAAAATGATTTTTTGTTCAAAAGTTTTTGCTTAACTTCATCAAATTATTTCACAATCATCACTAATTCATTTTTCGATTATTATCTTGAATTCTTAATTTAGTTTTTTGTTTCAAGAACCACCGTTTAAATGCAGTTTTTACGGCAAATAATTTGTATTATTATTGTATATATATTATTCACATTAAATAGATTATAGTTTATTTAAATCAAGAAAATTTGCAATTTTTGATGTTGAAATTCCATTTAAGATTTTTCTTGCACTTTCAATTTAACCAATTATTATTATTTAAAATTTTTATCGTTAAAAAATATTTTTTTTTTTTAAAGTATAGTTTTCATTATAAAGTTGTTGAATAATGTGATGCAACACAGTCAAAATTTGTTACAACAGTGTCTAAATTAAATAAAAAAGGGTCTAAATGTACTGAGATTATGTTAAAATTGAAAGAGGCAATGTCTAAATGAGGTGATACATTATCAAATTGAGCTGGTAATATTTCCAACAAAATAATTGTAATTATTTAATATTTAGCTACCACCTTAATAATATATTAAGGTGGTAGCTAAATATTAAATAATTACAATTAATATAGTATATTAAATAATTACAATTAATATAGTATTAATATAGCTATAAATTACAAAAATAAAATAGTCTAATAATAAGTTAGTAGCTAAAATATGTATGAACAAATCTGCTGTTATATGAAAATATGAGAAACAGTTATAGCGACACCATCAAAATTTAACAAACAAAAAAAATTATTTTTAAATATATCAACTTTTTCTTTTTATAATTCTTTTTTCTTTTCTTTTTAATCTTCTTAAATGCTATATTGAGTAAAATTGTTTGTCAGCAAAACTTAATTAAAAAATTTTCCATCTTTATATTTAACTATCTAATCTAATAAAAACTATCTTCTCTAATAAAAATTATACTTTGAAATGTTTTTAGAGATGTTTGCGGAAAGCAAAGAAAGAAGCATAGTTAGCGGGCAAGTTCTGTCTACATTAACTATACCGAAAGAATATGGAATATACTTTGAAGTATATTTAAGTTCATTTTCAAGCTCCTTTACAAACCTTATCCATTTAACAACAGGAGATAATGAATGTTATGGATGCAGAATTTCTACAATATTTTTAGGTAATGAAAATACAATAGTCGTGGCACCAATTAACGGTAATGGTAACTATTATGCAACAACAAACCTATTGACAATAAAAATTTGGAACAAAGTTATTATAAGACAATACATGAAAAATGGATTTTATATTAACGCTGCTATAATAAATGGAAAAACAGTTTACTCAGTGCAAAATAACGATGTAAGAACTTTTGAAAACGTCAAAATTTATGTCAGTGATATCTGGTATGCTCCACAACCAGGATACATAAGAAATTTTATTGTAACAAACCCTTGTCTTAGTAAGCAATGTTTTCTTTTTTTTAACAAAATTAGAAAAAAAGATTTTCAAAAAAATTTATATTAGTACAATAGTTTCTTCTTTTCACGGGAAATTAGCAAAAAGTAAAAATGTTGCTCAAAAATAAAAAATGAAAAAGTTTTGAAATAAGCAAGCAAATTTGAAATTGTAAATTTATTTTAATTTAAAAATTATTGATC